GTGGAAGGACGGGTTTCTGCCTTTGTCCCAGGTTTTGGCAGCCTGTGAGTTGCTCCCACCTTGCATATCCCACGGGTCAGCAGATGTGTGGCTGGAGGGGGCTGGCGCCGGCCCAAATATATCTGCCAGCTCCAGGATAGAGGACTGCAAAGAAAAAGGGAATAAAGAGGTAAGGGAGGGATCACCCTGGAGCCCAAGGCTGGCTGTGTGACCATCCAGGCCCCCAGTGCTGTACCTGGCTTTTCTTCATCTTATCTTCTTCCTCCTCTTCCTCCCCGCCCTGGGCAGTCTCCTCCATGGTTCTCTGCACCAGGGAGCTCTCCCCTTGCCAAGCCCTCACCTCCTGCGGGGACAAGGGACGAGCCCCGTGAGCTCAGCGACCCTGCAGCCAGCACCTTCTCCAGGACACAGACTCGGCACAGGAGCTGCCACCGAATCCCCGAAAAGTCCCAGCATCCAAGCAGACGGCTCCTCTGGGGCCGAGCCCACCAGGAGAGCGCTCAGCAGACAGCCCCGCAGCAGCGAAAGCAAAGCAGGAGCCGGAGTGAGGCGGCGTTTCAGGCTCCAGCGCCCCAGAGAGAAGCCCAAGTGCAAGGAGAGAGGAGCACCCGGGGCTGCGGGGCACAGGTACCTTCTCGTGCTCCTCTTTGCTCAGCGCGAGCGCAAGCTGCAATTGCCTTTCTTCGTCTGTACTGGAAATTGGAGGAAGTGGCTTCTGCCAACAGAGGAAATTGGGTGACATTTCAGCTTGCCCTCAGCTCGCGGGGCTGCTCGGAGGTCCCCGTCCTCGCCATCACCTCTCCTGCGGCCCCTTGCCTGCCTGCACAGCACCTCTGTCTGTCCAGCCAGCTCTGCCTGCGGACCCCCAGCCTGGTGTCCCTACACTCAAACAGGCTCCCCTGCGGCCACTGCCCCAGTTCCTTCCCCTACCCCATCCCCTGCCGCTGCCTCTGGGCTGGGACAACCCTAGGCCAGGCAGCCAGCATCTCCCCCAGGTTTCTGGGGACTCAGATGCAGTCGGTGGAGGAGAAGGGATTAATTAGGTGTCCCCTCGCCCCAGCAGCCTGCTGGGGAGGAGGGTTTCTGACACCGACCGGCCTCAGTTCAGGAATCCTGCCCAGCCCTGCTCTGATGGGGGAGAAGCGCCCAGATCTGAGGCAGATTTTGGGGAGAGACTGTCCTCGTGCCACCCCCCCGGCAGCCCTGATCACCACCCCGTGACACTCGTCCAGGGGCATGGGACCAGCCAGGGCTGGGAATGGGGACCCCGGTGCGGGTGTGCACGCCTGTAGAAGCGTGTGCAAGTGTGCACATGTGTGCACAGCCCAGATGGACGCCAACAGGCAACGCTTTCAGGAGTGTGTTCCTACAGCTCCCATTGCAGCAACGTGTGGAAGCTATAAATACTCCAATTCCAGGACAAAAATAGGGATATACGCTCCGCTCCATCTCCAAAAGAGCCTCCATCAGGCAGGGAAGACGGGCAGCAGCGAGCGCCATCTCCAAAGCATGTCCCCTGCCCCGGCAGGACCAAGCTCGCGGTGCTCAGTGCCAGTCCCAGGGGGATGCCCGCCAGCCTGGGCACACAGCCCCTCGGTCACCACGTCCCTCTGACTTTGTGTGCCCAGCCGTACCCGCCTGGCCGACCGGGCTGGCCCAGCCGGTGGCAACCTCAGCCGGTGCGCAAATAAGCCGTCCCTGGTGGAAAAGGGGCCGCAGCAGATAGGAGAGAGGGCAGCCCCAGGGGGGTTTCACGGTCAGGGCCAGCAGCTCCCTTGCTGCCCACATCCCTGCTCGGCTGCTTCTGGTGCTATCTTCCAGGCTCCTTCTAGCCTGGTTTGAAAGGACTGGCTGGGGGGGGGGGGGACAT